TTGACAAAAATTCAAAAATTTCTATGGAAAGCAGATAGTTCTTGTGAAAAAACAATTTATTGAAATAACTTTTATGGAATGTTTTTGACCAGCCCTAACTGAGAGGCAGTTTTTCTAACGTCCTCCAGGGTGGATATATAAAAATCTTCTTACTGAACTGCAACATATGCTCTTCTGTACACTCAACTTTGGGATGTTTAATGACTCTACTTCTTACCACTTGAATTCAAGTAGATCACTTACGGTGCTGAGCCATTATCCCATGGTTAGTTAAAGCTTAATTTTCTTTTCTGTTTTCAGTTGCAAGTTTCCATTCTGATAAGGAATAATGATTGTAATTAAAAAAAGCCTGTGAAGTTCCCTAATGATAATTGTTTGTGTGCGTGTGTTATAGTGTCAGATTTGTGAAGCAGTTACTCATTGTTTCCTTTGCTGTCTGCTGAGCTCTGAGAATGTGTTAGAGAATATTATGGGTGGTGTGTGTATATCCCACTATCTTCATATACCTAGTGAATGTGAATAACAACTGTTATAGTTCTCTCTACAGATGATTTTAGAGGCAAGAGGGCCCATTTTGATCATCTGCTTTGAACTGCTGCACATGACAACGCAGGAAAAAAAAGGGATCCCTGATTGCTTTAGCTGTAGGTGCACCTCTCCTTAAATGGCAGTGCAATCTCTGGAAACTTGGTGTAACTAAACCATTGATAAGTTCAGCTACACTTAGCACAGTAGTAGTAGTGTTTGTATCAGTGTATGAAGAAGAACTATGGTGTAGCATTGTGTTGGACACAACACAGAAAATGACAGCTCGTATTTATGATTGGCCATGCCTGGTTTTGTTCCAGCGCTTATTGCCAGTTCTAGGTTGGGAGAATTGAGGTTGTGGGGTGTGGTTTTGGAGAAATCTTTAAGTTTCCCTCCTTGGTTTTCAGAGGATTAAGTATAGGTGCATTTGATGGAAGGGTATTTATCACTTTTGGTCAACCTTAACTTGGCATGATCATAGTTTTGTGCAGTGAATAGTGTCCAATTCTGGTACTGTGACTCATATATCAGCCCTAGGGTTGCCAACTTTCTAATTGTTGACAACTAGACCCCCTCTGCCCTGTCCCTACCCCGCTTCTTCCCCTGAAGCTCTGCCCCCCATTCGCTTCTCTTCCACCCTCCCCATACTGCTCACTGCCCGCCCTCATCCTCGTAGCTGGATCTTCTCCACCTCCCTGCCCCACCACTGGTCTCCCTCTGCTTTGGAGCTGTAGCCTGACATGGAGCCTGCCTTCCTGCCAAAGAGATGCAGGTAGGAGGCAGCCTTTCCCTTGCTGCCCGCAGTAACTGGACTTTTGATGTCTGGTCAGTACATCTGACCCAACACTGTCAGGTTCCTTTTTCGACTGGACCTTATGGTTGAAGACTGGGCACCTGGCAACTCTAATGAGCACATTTCTTATAGACAATTATTACAGAAGGTTTATGAAGTCTTCCAAAATTCCTTCGATCTCAAAACTTAGTACATATGCTCTTAAGCTAGAGAAGGAAATTCTAAAATTAACAGAATCTGATCAGCCATTTATGTGTGATACTTTCAGAGAATCCAGGGCTTTCCCTACCCTACAGATTTGGAAGCCACAGTGGCTTCATAATTGCTAGGGGCCTATCAGTGTAGTTTTCATAGCCATCTTAAAGGTTACTCCTGGGGGAATTCTGTGCCACTGTGCAATGCAGAATTGTGCAGAAATTAATGTTGTGCACACAGAATTTCCTTTTTTCCCCACAGAAAAGGGCTGCAGAAATGTTGGCCGTCACTAGGGGCTGCTGGACCTAGCAGAGTCCAGCTTGCAAATAGAAGACAAGGCCAGGAGGAGGGGGAGGGAGCTTAGAGGGCTTCTGGCAACTACAGTTCTCCACACACCCTGAAGGAAGAAGGTGGTGGCACACTGGAAACTCCGTGGAAACCCGGGACCCAGTATCAGGCTGTTTCTCACTCTGGATCCCTGGTCTTAGGGGATGTGAGTGTCTGGGTTGTGGGGGATGCGTCTGGGCTCTGGGGTGTAGAGTGTGTGAATATTTGGGTTGGGGGGAGGGGGAGCCTGCTCTGAAGGGTAGCAGGTGTGAGTGTCTGGGCTGGGGGGGCATGGCTGGTCTCTGGGGTGTGTGTGTGTGCGGGTATCTGGCCCCCTGGCTGGGCTCGGGAGGGGGAAAGGGGGCAGAGAAACAGGAACTGGGTTGTCGTAGGGGTTTCTTTAACTCTTCTCCTGGGGGAATTTTTGTGTGTCTGTATTATTACAGATATACCTGCTGACAGGTATTTTGAAATAAATTACCAAAGTCACTGAAACTGCTGTCATAATATAGTGTTATTTTTGACAAATAAAATGTGTAGAATTTTGCAAAATTTTGAAATATTGTGCATAGAATTTTTTATTTTTTTGCACGGAATTCCCCCAGGAGTGAAACGTGGAAGGCCTCTTGTTTTGATGATTCCTGAGAACTGACTGGTTTAGAAAAATCCTGAAAACATATGACACTATAAATGAAAAAAGAAAATGTAACACATGTTTTGTTCTTAAGTTAATTTTGGTACCTTCCAGTATTAAAATAATTGCACTGATGTAGGAGAGAGAGCTATTCAACAACAAGCTATTATGCCTACACAATAACTACCTTGTCAAAAGTTTTAGTGGCTCCAGAATTTTATCACCAAACTATTTCCCTGCTTTTATATTAGGATCCATTCCAGTTTTCTTGTAATGCACTTTGTGTTTGTTGGTAGGAACTTGAGAAAATGCTACTGTAACTCTTTTGCAGGTAAGGAAACAAATGTCTCCATGTTTTACATTAAGGTCTGATACAGACTATGTGAACACATCTGCATTCATGAAATATAGATCTCTGGATCCTAGTTAAATATTTGTATTGAGTATTTTGACAATAAAACAATTTAAATCCAGCAAGGAAATACACATGAAATTTACTAGTGTGGGTCAGATGCTGGGGGCACATCCTAATATTAATAGTATACCCATGTTACTAAAACCCAGTAAATATATATTGCTCTCCTATCTCCTTCCTGGTTTTTGAACTTGTCCTAAAGAAGAGCAATAAGAGTGTCTTAGTATTGCATGTCTAGAGGGATATTGTCTGTTTTATGCTCTGTAATGTAAGTCATGAGGAAATGCAAGGCCCCATTGTACATTAATGGCAATGTATGTGTAATTTAGCAGACTCTGTATATATTTTTATAAACTAGTTTTCTAATACACTGTACGTGTTTGGTGGAAACCGACATGTACATATGAGAGAAATTCATGGCTCAAGCACAATGACTTGGCTTGGGGCTCAGGTGGTTGTTACGTCTGTTTTTTAGTGTATAGTTAACATTAGCAGTCACCCTTATAATGATGTGACACACACTACCCCCAAGTACGGTGGCTGCCCTACTCCTAGCAATTGGAAGGTTGATTTAATCAGTAACACAGCCTAGCTTATGTGACATCCATTGGAGTGAAGGAGAAAGACAACTGTGATCCATTTTCCCCTTCTAATTAAAATTATTTTTAAAGTATTTAACAAAAACCTTCTTTCCACGCCTGAATTTGGTTCAAGTTTCTAAGTAACTTTATTTAGAAACTGAATTCTTTAAAGTTATTAAGGGAATAATTTCAGTGTGTAGTTATAGTGTTGTCAACAGAAGATGTGATTAAATAAATTGAATGTTGAAGATTTTCAACTTACAGTTAACACCAGGTAATTAAAAGTAAGCGCTGCTGTGGGAGTGCATTATATATCGGCTGCACTCTTTACCTCATTAGTTGGGTTTTTGCATGTCTATGGAGCTAACTTGCAATTAAAAATGCCTTAGAAGTATGCTTAACAAGGTCTTTTAGGTATTTGGAATAAAGTACTACAATTTAATTGAAATTGGTGTATCATAAATAGATTTCTTTAAGGGGGGAGGGATAGCTCAGTGGTTTGAGCATTGGCCTGCTAAACCCAGGGTTATGAGTTCAATCCTTGAGGGGGCCATTTAGGGATGTGGGGCAAAAATTGGGGATTGGCCCTGCTTTGAGCAGGGGGTTGGACTAGATGACCTCCTGAGGTCCCTTCCAAACCTGATATTCTATGATTCTTGGAAGCGGACAAGATAAATCTCCATGCCTAATTTGACATTTTACATGTCGTCATTATCTTCTTTCATATTTATTGTTGAATGTAATGCTTGAAAGTTAGCTTATGTAAAGACTGGTGACACTGTCTTCAGCTCTAAGAATCTTCTGATTTGTTTTAATAAGTATTTCTTTAAGTTCAGATATATCCATAGATTTATTTCCATATAAGATGCATTTGAAATGTAATGAAAAGACATTAACATATGTACTATACATTAGCATTTCAGGATGGTTTTAGTTATTTTTATACTGTAGATTTCTCCACTGAGAAGCCTTCCAGTATTTTAAAACAGAATTAAAGGAGCCTATCACATCTAGACAGTTTTCAAGGTGGATATTGTCAGATCTCAGTATCTTTTATTTTGACTATATTGACATTGCAGCCCCTATCTACCTTTCTGTGTTCAGCTATGTTAGATCATTAAAGCATGGTGTTGCTCTTAAAGCGGTACTCAATATGAGTAATACCAAAGGCAAAAGCTGTTTTTACTGGAACTGTGATAGATCCCAAAGTAACCCACCCTAGTAGTTGTATATCCATAGTATTTTAGCTGACCATGTTTCTGGGGGATTGAAATGAATGTTAAAGCCTTGCTATAAACAATTGGAAGGAGGAGAGGGAGAACATGGATAAAGTGTCAGTGCATATCTTTAGATAGGCTGGCAAAAAAGAATGTGGAAAGAAGTGTTGAACTTGCTAGCTAACATGGTTTGCGGAAAACAGAATTCTGTATGTATTGTGTTTCTTTCCTTTGAAAAAAGGGCCACTGTATGTTAAAAAAAAAAAAAAAAAAAAGACGATTTACTAACTTTATATATTTCTCCATGTAGGAGTGTTGTTGTAGCTCCAAAGAAGTCAACAATTTCCCCTTCTACAGCTACCATGAGTGTACCCACAAATGCTGTCAGCGTGGTTTCTTCATTAGATTCAGCGCAGGCCCCAGACCTGACAGGAGAATATCCTGGTGAGTAAGGGTAAACGGAAGACAGCTTAATAGAAAAGAAACAGAAAAATGTAATAGAAGTGGAATCATCTGTAATGAGATTCCCTGTGGAGGGGAGACACTTTCAAAGTTTTAACCTCCGAAACATTGCAGACAAACACATTTATTTGTGCGTCATTTGCTAATTATGTAACTAAAGATTTTGTGTTGGTGGCCTTATGTTTTAATTCCTACCTAGAGTAGGACAGCAAAGAATTATTTTTTAAAAATCTCGCTATGCTTAGAATATTAACAATTATTGATTTTTATTTTCGGTTGGAAAACTTATCTGAATCTATATTAGAAAGGTGCTTTTTTTGTAGTTGCTTTTTTCCCCTAACTGTATGTATTAGGTAATATAGAACTTTTTATACCGGATCAGACAGAGGAAACTCTGAGGCCCTGGATCCTGCAAGCTGTTCTGCATATGTCTGCTGATGCACACAGTGACAGCTTGCAGGGTTGGGAGCATGTGCTTGATATCCTATCTCTAACTATGGCCAGTACCAGATACTTCAGAAAAAGGTAAAATACCTGTATGTTAAATCTGGCCAATCATACAGTGGTGTTACTTGGGTTTGTGACCATGAGCATTCCTTTCTGACCATCACCAGTGATCAGCTTACACCTTAAAGCACAAGGTTTGACTACTTGTATGATTCTTAGCTTGCATGCAGTAGCTGGAAATGCTTATAAAGCTAACCTCCTTTTAAACAAAAGAATCCTGCTAAAGTATTTTTACTGACTACCAGTGATGATGTTGATTTGAATAAGCTTACTTTTGTTCTAAGTTTCCTGCCGTTAATTTCATTTTGTTCTTTTTTGTCTCATTATAGGGGAGAGCAAATATAAGAATCTGATTGCTTTTAACAATACTTCCCATAATTCCAAAAAAGATGAGAATATTATTAATAAGCAGAAGTCATACAGTAGGAAGCAATTGTAATTAGCATAGGGATATGTTGCACTTCTTCTAATAGGTAATATTTTTTCGTGAGGGTACTTTTATTTTTAAAAGCCTTTCTCAAGTTAAGTATGATCATGAAACTTGTATATTGCAATACAGAATATTTATGCTAACAGAAAATAAGTCTGAATATATTCCCTATAAAGGCAAGAAAGTTTTATCCTGACAAATTTGCCATCATGAAATCTGAGTAATTGCTGTGGTACTCTTCACTGAGGACAGACTTAGTATAAGTTGTTCATAAACACACAGTCATGTGGTATTTTGAGTCCTGAGGCTCTCCTTTCTTTCTGTACAACATGTCTAACGCTCTGATATAATGCGGAAGGCCTGCTCTTTTTGGTCAGCCATTTTGTAGTCTCAAGGCTGTGTGTGTTCTCCCAAGTATCTGTGCCCACCAAAACCACCAAATTGCATGCTAAAGTTTTGAATTGAATTGAAGCTCTATGTCAAGGAAGCGTCCCTCCGTGCCTGTTAACTGGGCATTTCTTTATACTGCAGGAGCTAGTTGTTGCCAATGATGTATCAGAAACAAGAAGACCAAGTACAGTCCCCTTCTCAAGTGCCCTTGTGGGCACATTTATTTTCATCTTTGTTCTCTCCAGCTCTCTGCAAAAGTACTTGTGGGGGTCGTTCAGATTTAATTGCAACCATGCTACATGAAAGGAAAAGCTTTTGTGATCCAATACTTTCTTACTGCCTGATACAAAAAGGAAAATTGAGTTCATCACTCAAATTTCCAGGAGATAGTCGTCTACTAGTCTAGGAGGCAGATCTAGACTAGGGAAATAGGTTGTGTTTTAAAAACATGCCACAGTTGAAGAGGGAGCCTAGGGTTGACCAGGAGCAAGTAGCATGTTTTTGAAGGCTTTACACTCTGTATATGATAAAAGCACATTAGTTAAAATCTGTTAGCCAACATGGTAAATCATGCCCTATTTTCCTCAGTCAGATAGGGCCTAGATTATTGAGAAACTGCTGTAATGATTTAAATCACTTTGACTAGGAGCACATCAATGGAATTTAACTTGCAGGCTCTCTAAATGGGATATACTTTTTTTTGTAGAAATGATTTTGGAATATGTTGAATGCTGCTGTACTGTAAAATGTATAAGAAATCCAGACAATGAACAATAATGATGTAACTTGTACCAGTATAACCTCCAGAATGTCTGGAAGGGTTGGCAAAAACTGAGACTTCTAATCTAAATCGATATGCATAAAAAGAAACAAAGTAGGATTAAAAATACCAGACTTGTTTGGACTGGCAATCTAATTCATTAAAAAGAAAAATTTAGGGGATACATGAAATCATGCCTAAAACTGATTAAAACATGACTATTGATTGGAAATTATTTTTAATAAAAATAAGGATTAAATGGAAACACTAGTTCCCACTGATATAAAATATTAAAAGTCTAAGTAATTTGTGTTTGTGTTGATTATGTAAATTGTCTACACTTCAATTTTAAATACTCTTGTATGAGGGTTTTAACCTTGTGGTATGCGAGAAAAAAAGTGGGCAAAAATGAGTAATAGTAATATCTATTTTTTTTTTTTTAAAAAGGACTGAAATAAGAAAATTGATGTTTTTCTTCTGAGGTCATATCACAATTTTTTTTATCTCCACATAATTTTTTAGGCCCCATTTAGCGTACAAGAAAGTAGCTGAGAAAAAGGTTTGGCCTTATATTAATTTCAGACTGTTTACCTGGCTATTAAGAAAAAAGCACATTCAATCTATTAAAAAACAACAACAACAAACTTTCAGACTAGATGTCTAGTTAGTGAATATAAATTGCAGTGTTACAATGTTTTACATGAAGGCTATATATAGTATTTTAATTTCTTCATATCATTTTAACAAATAGCTGCTCTTACCTGATTAACTCAGCTTTTCTAATAAAACAGGCTGAGCAACAGACACATTCCACCTAGGATAGTCACAATCTTAATGTCTTGGATTTAGTCACTTTGTTGCATAGTGATCATTAATCACTGTTCCTCAGGACTCTTAGTCTCAGTGTATTGGTGCTGGTGCACACACCTGAGGCTGTCAACAGATGTGGTCTGGCTGCTGGAAAAGGCTCAGAAATTCTTCTGAGATATAGAGACCAAGGACATGATCCTGAAAAAGATGTATGTAACTGCACACTATGAGGAATTCCTTTTGACTTCAGAGGGACCACCACTAGCATGTAAAATTCATCAGGTCCTTACACCTGTGCTGGACTAGGCCCTGCTGTACAGTTTAAAATCATGTGAAGTAATTTTGAACTCATGACTGCTACAAGGGATTTGAGTCTGGCACTCCTTCCTTATAAAGCAGGGGTGGGCAAACTTTTTGGCCCGAGGGCCACATCTGGGTATAGAAATTGTATGGCGGACCATGAATGCTCATGAAATTGGGGTTGGCATATAGGAGGGGGTGAGGTCTGGGCCGGGGGTGTGGGCTCCAGGGTGGGGCCAGAAATGAGGAGTTCATGGTGCGGGAGGGGGCTCTGGGCTGGGTCAGTGGGGGTGGGGTGTGTGAGGGCTCCAGCTAGGGGTGCAGGCTCTGGGGTGGGGCTGGGGGGTTTGGAGTGTAGGAGGGTGCTCCGGGCTGGGACTGAGGGGTTCGAAGGGCAGGAGGGGGATCAGGGCTGGGGCAGGGGCTTGGGGCACTGAGGGTGGGGTAAGGGTTCTGGCTGTGGGGTACAGGCTCTGGGATGGGGCTGGGAATGAGAGGTTTGGGGTGCAGGAGGGTGCTCTAGGCTGGGACCAAGAGGTTCAGAGGGTGGGAGGGGGATCAGGGCTCGGACACAGAGGACTTGCTCAGGGGTGCAGGCTCTGGGCAGCGCTTGCCTCAAGCAGCTCCTGGAAGCAGTGGGATGTCCCTCCTCCGGCCCCTATGCATAGGGGCATCCAGGCGGCTCTGCTGTGTGCTGCCCTGTCTGCAGGCGCCACCCCTGCAGCTCCCATTGGCTGTGGTTCCTGGCCAATGGGAGTGGTGGGAGCGGTGCTTGGGGCAGGGCAGTGTGCGGAGCAGAGCCCCCTGGCTGCCCCTATGTATAGGAGATGGAGTGGGGACATGTTGCTGCTTCCGGGAGCCACGAGAACTAGTCCCCGACCCTGCTCCCTGGCTGGAGTGCCAGAGCAGGGCAAGCCTCAGACCCCACTCCCCAGCAGGAGCTCGAGGGCTGGATTAAACGGCTGGCAGGCCAGATGCGGCCTGCGGGCCATAGTTTGCCCGCCCCTGTAATAAAGTAATATGGTAAGAAACCAGAAGGACAGACTGAAAACACTCCTGGAAGGAGGAAATACCTGGAGCAGTTCTGGAGAGTCCTTGGATGGGGAAGTGGTAACAAATTATAAGATAATTGATCTAGGTGGAGTTGAAGAATATGATCTAGGAAGCTAGTCATTAGTTGGTACAGCTAGCCATTTTGTCATGGGAGGTGAGACTAGTCAAAGGTAGCGAAGCTATTTTTGTGTATTCTGATGGGATATTTGTGTGTTCTGTTTGGGGGCATTTAGTCTTCCTTGTCAATGTTTTTAAATTATTATGTGTTGATGTAAATTTCACAGACTTTTAGTGCAAAAAAACAAAAACAAAAAAAAACCCCTTGCATTTCCTGCCCTGTTTTCTGTGGTTGCTCCTGTCTTTGTGGTACTGCACCCACAGTACTTGTTACCAATTTTTCACTGTAGGGAATGCAATGTTGAGACTTTTAGCTTCTTTTTAGTGCTATCCATTTCCATATTCTTTTTTCAAGCATTATTTTTAAAAAGTGAGGATGCTGTAAAGGAACTGACTACATTGGCAAATGTTATTTATCTGAAGTGACAGTCACACATTTGCCCCTGCTATCATTCACTCATGCATACAATTCCCCTCAAAATTCTCCACCCACAGCCCTGCCAGAGGCTTCCTTTGGGTCTTGTCCTCTCAACTGCATTCTCACCATACCTTGCCTCACAGTGTAGAAACAGTGGGGAAGAATAGATACTTCCAACCCTGAGTAGTAGCATCTTC